TATCATATTATCATGGTTATAATTATAGCAAGATACATATATGCACAAATTGCACTGAGGATGTAGTACTTCATGATCAAGAATTGTATATGCTTCTAGCAACTTAAATCCTTCATGGATTGTCATATAAGTTAAGTCATATAAGCTATATAGTAGACTTTAGATGCATATCAAGTTTTCATGTCATGCTAGACATATAAGATAAATAAAAGTGATTGCACACACTATTGACTTTATACTTTCAAGTGTTTGATCTGCAGGTCCAAAACAATATGTCTTTCATATGAAACCAATTCTACTTGAATTATTTCTATAGACATAAGATCCTCATATATATATTTAGCGTTATTATCAATGCTGTCGACAAACATTTTATATCGGTTCCAACCTCCTTATTTTTCATAAAGACATACCATAGAGATCTCTTCAGTCATATGTTCAGGTACCTGAATCTTTCATGAGATTTTATGAAGTGTTATGTCATGTGATCTTCTAGATCACTTGCCTCCTTTATTATGATCATTTTGATCATTTGCTCACCTTCTTTATCAAGAAGTTTATTTGAAACCAATCTATCTATACGCTTTAAGCGTACCATAAACTTTGTCCTTCTCGGACTATTATAATATGAGCATTTGCAGCGAGAATATAGTTACTTTCTTTGGGTCAGCAAATGCGTCTGGCATGCTTTGCAATAAATTGCACATGAATTATCCTTTTATGAACTTCAAGTTCATATTATCTTATTCGAGGATCTAGATGTACAAATGATAATTCATTCCACATAACTTTTTCTCAACTGCTTATCATGTCTCCCCCTCATGTTAGAAAAACTAACTTGTTTTCTCAACTTTGAGAACTCATCTTTGTGCGTTATGGTGTTAATCAAAATATACACCGCACATCAATAATAATAAGATGGAATTATTTGGTTCTTGACCATGAACCACCTGTGAGGGGAGAAATTAATATACTTTCGTATATAACGTATATCAAACTGGTATATAAAACTTTGTTCTCATAAGCAATTGTTTAGCTATTAAGTGGAGGCACTCAATAAATTATTTTGCTAAACCAGCTGTGATGTAGACCAACTTATCAAGATGAACTTCTTGAATAGAAAATCTGGAATATGCTCTAAATTAAATTATTGAGCAAGTTACCTCGCAAACACCATGTTGCGGTTTAATAATAATCGCACATGTAACCATCTCATAGATGCATCTTATGTGGTATACATGGCAAGTGAATGGGCCCGTATTCACCTTTTGATATTTCCAGCATTCATGGGATTCAATCCCAATTTTAGTTGATCTATCAATTAATGAGAACAAGCAATATAAGAGAATTCGTAAAGAACTTTCTAGTTCTTTAATATTTACCCATGTGAATTCTCTATTATTTTTGCACATCATACTTGAATTAACATGGCTAAACCTATTATGCCAACCGGATAAATTATCAATATTGATAAACTTCAGGTTTACACCATGATGTGTGCAATTATGAATAAACTCCAAGTTTATTATGATATGGATTTTTATATCAATAAATACCCACTTCATTGTGGTATTCTTTTGTTTATGTAGTACAAATTGGAGAATAAAGCGGGTAGCTTTTCACATACATATTACCCCGCTACAAGTTGTAGTAATAGAAGATATTAAATCTTTCCTTTATTTATAGTCTCAATATAATCAACCGCTTTCGCGTATACTTTGGAAACTGAATAAGTTTCTTTGAGACTTACTACAACACAATACCTTATTGGTAATTAATTGTGTTTCTCCAAAATAGTATAATTGGCTCTTGCAGAGTTCTCAATTAATTTTGTAGTACCACATATTCATCAACACCCATATGGTGAATACCTCTTTTAAAAAGAAAGTTATACCATTATGGTTATGGTCAAAATTATATGCAAGATCTGTTTCTTGCATTACCGTTGTCTTTTAACAATAACAATGCCAAAATATTTTGGCGTACAATAGGTACGTGACCAATGACCATTCATGCCATAATAATGACATTATTTTCTTATATCATCTCAAACCTCCTTTTAGAGGTGAGTGCGGTATATTCACTACCACTAGCACGTCATATTCTTTGAAGAATGAATATGTATTTGTAAACCAAATGTTGTCAAATTCACATCATGAATGGACCATAATCATCTATATGTGCTTTATAAAATCTCATGTCAAATCGATGACAAATAATACCTTCATAAAGTGAAGAATTATTTAGAGAATCCTTATTGTTCTCATTACCACAATGATGACGATTATAATTTCGTCTATTGCCACGTCCACATCCATTGATACATTCATAGTAATAATTTTGTCTTCTTTCAGACTTATCACATACTGCTGTCACATTCTCTTAAGGGAATGAGAATGGAGCAAATTCAATGGGACGGGTTTCCACTTTTTGTGCCCATAATCATACGAATTTGATCATGACAAGACATAGAAATTTTTACCACTTCAGGTGGTTATAATTTCTTACAAACTCCATTAGAGTTATAATCAAACTTTGTTGTCTTTGCTTGTATATAACATCAAATTATAGAATTTCAAGAATTTAAAAGAGAAAATAAAGTAAAATACTTACCTTAAATCCAGAATTTAATCATGAAGGAAGTTCATGGAATAATTGACAATCATTATGCT